CGACCAAGAAAAAGCTACAGCACTAATTGTGGCGCTACAAGGACCTGCTTTAGACCTTCTTCAGTCCATTCCTTTAGTCTACCAACAGAATTACCATCATCTAAGTCAGACGTTAGAATAGCGCTTCGGAGACCATTACAGACAAGAAGTATTCAGAACTCAAGTCAAATCAAGAGTTCAAAAACCCGGCGAGAGTCTACAAGAATTCGAATCGGAAGTTAAAAGGCTAGTGAGTTTGGCGTTTCCTGCAGCTGAGGAAGACATGCAGGAATGGATGGCAGTATCTGCATTTATTGATGGTCTCAGGGATTCGAAGATCCAGGAAAACCTGAGAATGTCCAAGTTCAGACAAAATAGCGAAGCTTTTGTCCGAGCATTAGAACTGGAAGCAATCTTTGGTGCCTCACGATCCAGAATACGAGCAGTGTCCATTGAAGACCCAAAAGATAAACAGTTGTCAAAAGAGGATAGTAGCTTCGAAACTAAAATGAGTAATTTCATGGAGAGAATGGAGAAACTGTTACAAGAAGATAGAAAAATGGGAAACGATTCCAGACAAACACCAACCCCGAGAAACCGAATAGAGTGCTACCGGTGACATAAACTTGGGCATATTCAACGAGATTGTAGAGTGAGGATGTCCTTTCCATCAAGGGATCGTTTCCAACGCTTTTCGAGATCAAGAGACGCCAGCCCTAATAACAGACAGGGAAACGAGAACTAACCAGTATGGAGGGGCGAATGCTGGTTAGTAATGACGAAGCCCCCAGGGTTGTTTACATAAAATCATTGAGCAGTCATTATAGAGGATTAAAATTCAAAGGACAAATTAATGGAGAATTGAAAACCATTACTTTTGATACGGGTGCTGAAGTTTCCATAATTAGAAGAACATTAGTCAAGTCTCGGGCAATCCAACCGCTCACTAGAAACCTGTCACTACGAATAGTCACTTTTGGATCTACCACCTTCAGGCACAGAACATTAGTTGCCGATATAGGAGATGATTTCATTTTGGGAATGGATTTGATCGGCCAACATGGTTTCTCTTTTGATCCTTCCATGAACATCCATAAATTTGGTAATGTAGAAATTGTCCTAACAACACAAGAAGAATCCGATGCCGTTAAGATCTTGGCCACAACTCCAGTGAGGATTCCTGGAAGTACTGAAAAGATCATTTGCGGAAGATTAGAAACAAATCCTGGGTGCTGCGTTGGACTAACACGTAATTTCATTGGAGATAAACCAGAAAGATTTTTTGTTGAAAAGACTCTAGTAAGAACAAATGGAAACATTATGATAAGAATTTCCAATGCTTCTTCCGAAACAGTAAGAATAAAGGAAGGAGACATTATTGGAGCTCTCGAACCAGTGAAGCAAATATCGAACTGTGACCTACCAGATAAGCGACATTTTGTGAAATCTAAATTAGATACAGACACCTTGATGCAGACTCTGGCAAAATCATGGAAACATCTCGATCCAGATAGACTTCAAGAAGCCACAGATTTCATTTTGACGTATTTGTGATGGACAATCAAACCGGACGAACCAGTTTAATTCAACATAAAATTGATACTGGATTGGCACACCCAATTAGACAACCACCACGACGTATGCCAGTAGCTAAGCTAAAACCAAATTGATAAAATGCTTCAAGAGGGAGTCATTGAAGAGTCAAATAGTCCATGGTCCGCGCCAGTAGTATTGGTTACGAAGAAAGATGGGAGTCTTAGATTTTGTGTGGACTACCGAAAACTTAATGACGTCACCAAGAAGGACAGCTTCCCTCTCCCAAGAATAGACGATACACTAACAACTCTATCGGGCTCCAAATGGTTTTCCACCTTGGACCTTAAAAGTGGATACTGGCAAGTGGCAATACATGACGATGACAAAGAGAAAACTGCCTTCAGTACCGGAAGCGGGCTATACCAGTTTAATGTAATGCCTTTCGGATTGTATAATGCTCCAGCTACGTTTGAGCGACTGATGCATCTTGTCTTGCAAGGCCTTACATGGAGAACTTGCTTGGTATATTTGGATGATGTCATGATAATGGGAAATTCGTTCCAAGAACATCTGAATAACCTGAAAGAAGTTTTTGACCGCTTCCGGAATGCCAACTAACCAAGTGTTTCCTATTGCAAAAGAAAGTGGAATTCTTAGGTCACGTGGTATCTGAAGAGGGTATACAAGTTATGGAAGGAAAAATAGATGCTGTCAGGGACTGGTCAAAACCACGCGACAAACATGAACTAAGGAGTTTTCTAGAATTATGTTCTTATTATCGAAGATTTGTGGAAGCATTCGCCAATATAGCTGCTCCACTTCATCGATTAACAGAAGAAAAATCAACATTCAATTGGACCCAAGAATGCGATTCCGCATTTAGAAAATTGAAAGGAGCATTATGTACGAGCCCAGTGTTGTCCTATCCTGATCACAAAGGCATGTTGATTTTGGACACAGATGCAAGTAACACCAGTGTTGGAGCTGTCCTTTCACAAATCCAAAATTCACAAGAACATGTCGTCGAGTACTACAGCAAAACATTATCAAAGCCGGAACGAAATTATTGTGTCACCAGAAGAGAGTTGCATGCCATAGTAAAAGCAGTCGACCATTTTCATAAGTATCTCTACGGACGCAAGTTTCTAATTCGAACAGATCACGCAGCTCTAAAATGGCTTTTAGAAATGAAAACTCCTGAAGGACAGCTTGCTAGATGGATTGAGAAACTGCAGCAATACGATTTTCAAATTAAACATCGACCTGGAAACCTGCATAAAAATGCTGACGCTCTGTCTAGACGACCATGTAAAGAAGATTGCAAACATTGTCAAAGAATCGATATACATGAGAAAAACACTAGTCCAGCTGTAAGAAGAACGGACCTGATCGTCGATGACAAATGGACTACCAAGCAAATGAGAGAAGATCAGGAGGCAGACCAGGACATCGGGCAAATTCTACATCTTAAAGAAAATGATGAATGTAGGCCAGAATGGGGGGAAGTGTCAAACAAAAACTTGATTTACAAGGCGTTGTGGGCCCAGTGGAACTCTCTGGCCGTAGAAAATGGTTTGCTCAAAAGAGTTTGGGAAAGTGCCGATGGGAAATCCACTAAGATCCAACTGGTTATCCCAAAAGACCGAGTGGAAGATGTATTAAAAGAGATACACGACGGAACTTCAGGGGCACATTTCGGAGTTAACAAGACTTTGGACAAAATTCGGGAACGTTTTTACTGGGTTCACTACCATGAAGACGTTAAAAGCTGGTGCCGAAAATGCGACATCTGTGCTACCCGTAAAGGCCCTAAACTAAGATCTCGGGGGCCCATGAAACAGTACAACGTTGGTCTTCCATTTGAGAGAATAGCGATAGATGTAGCAGGACCGTTCCCAGAGTCAGAGCGTGGTAACAAATACATCTTAGTTATCATGGATTACTTCAGTAAATGGCCAGAAGTTTTTGCTATTCTCAATCAAGAAGCCATCATTGTTGCCTAGGTGCTAGTGGACGAAGTTTTTAGTCGTCATGGTGTGCCACTAGAGTTACATTCAGACCAGGGACGAAACTTCGAATTTGGCATCTTTAAGAAAATTTGTGACATCATGGGAATCCGTAAGACCAGGACAACACCTTAACATCCACAGTCTGATGGCATGGTAGAACGATTTAATAATCTAACAAAAGTGGTCGCAAGGAACCAGCGTGATTGGGACAAACACTTGCCTCTGTTTTTAATGGCTTATAGAGCAGCTGTTCACGAGTCAACAGGTGAAAGTCCAGCCAGAATCGTCTTTGAAAGAGAATTCAGGGTACCTTGCGATTTGATGTTTGGGATACCTGAAGAAGAACGGAGAGAAATCCGAGATTATGCCGACGAAGTAAGGGCACGACTTCTGGGTATCCATGATTTTGTTCGGGAGCATATTCAGCTAGCCAGTGACCGGATGAAGACCAGATACGATCTGAAAGCTAATTCAGCAGGATTTCAAGAAGGTGGTTTGGTGTGGCTGTATAATCCAGCTAGTGAGAAAGGAGTATCGCCGAAGTTGTCTTCAGCATGGGAGGGACCCTACAAAATAATCAAGAGGATCAATGATTTGGCTTATCGAGTCCAGCGCAACACCAGGAGTAAGATGAAAGTTGTACATCTGGACAGATTGGCGAAATATCATGGGCGTGAAGTTGATCGGGACGATCAACCTTAAGAGGAGGGCAGTGCTACGAAATCGTTAACGCCAGAAAAACGGCGTCCGCCAGGCTGTCAAGAATCGATGACAGAGATACTAGAATCTAACGAATTATTCTATTTTAATCTGGAAAATAAGATTATCGTGTGTATTCTAGATTTTACAGGAATAGATTTAGGGATATATAAGAAAGCCGGCATTGGTTTGTAAGTTAGTTTCAGTTCGAGTGTGATACGATTTAAATAGTGATTGTAGAGAGTTTAATTGTTGAGTTTGTTAATAAAGTAATTAGTGTCAGAGTGTATTGTTAAGTGGAATAAATTATTGCTGTGTTAATTGGAGTTTGATTTTTGGAATAAACGAAAGGAACAACGAACCCAAGATTTCTGTCAGGCAATCCAAAGCCACGACAATATGAAAAAGTTAGCTTCAAATTGAATTTTTATTTTCTTTCTCAAGATTTTGGATAAGGTTTTGCATTCTTCTTTTGATAGATAATTACTACCGTGCCTCTCAACATTACAACATTGTATCTTTATTTTGAACGAAACCCTCATGACGTCACACATACTTTAAGGCGAGTTAACAAGTCGATAGCCGAGATTCTTAGATTTCTTTACACTAAAACTAACAATTCCTTTAAACCACTCTTCATTGTATTGTCCAACTATCAGACTGCCGCTTGAAAAGTTACGCTTCAAAAATTGAAAAATCTGATCCTTTCCAGATTGAGTCACATTTCTAGCATCAGCAACGTCTTTTTATCTTATTCAAAATCTGATCGGTTTTCAGAGCTTCCACGGAACCGCAGCCCTAGAACAACTAATCAGCTCAGAAGAGGAAGAAGACGCCACATTTTCTCCCGACGAAGGTTTCAGCCCTCCGACTCCGAGCCCTTGCGAAATGAGCCCCTCCAAAGCCAACTTACGGCACACTTTGTGGGACCGAATACGAAATTAGTAATTTAGTATGTAATTGATTTTTTTTCAAAGGCGATTTCGATTTTTTTTTTTGACATTTAAAACATTGTTTATCTGTCAAAAAAAAAAAAAATGCAATCAAATCGAAATTGCTTTTCAAGTAAAATTATTTATTGTTGAATGTTTTATTCGGAATTTGAAACAAACAAGGCCAAAATGGAGATGACAATTTTTTTAAGGTAGGTACTGTTGACTTGTTTTTTTAAATGTTAACTGTGGAACCAGGATAATCAATTTTTTAACGATAATAATTTATGAATTCAATTTAAACATAATAATTTCGATTTTTAAAAGAAGTGCAATAATAATTTGAAAATTAGGTACTAGCTGACGTCACACACATAACCTTACTTCTGTTAGCTTGTCACCAATGACATAACGTGACTTTCGATAGGAGGACAAACATGTCATTGAAATTATGTGTGTGACGTCAGCTAGCACCTAATTAGGTGCAATATTTTGGTTGAGTTGATAATTGACGTTTAAAACATTGTTTATCTGTCAATTGTTGACAGAGTCTAGTGGGATAAATTTTGATTTGATTGTTTCTAATAAATTAATTGACTCGAATTCATAAATGTATTACAAGTACAAATTGCTAACAATTTATTTAAATTATTATTGGGGTGTTTTTTTTTAAATACATAATTGTTATTTATATAATGTGATAAACCATAGTCTCTTCTATTTCATGTACTGTCGTATCTCAATTTTTCCAATTTTACAGGAGGCACAATTTTATCTATTCCTATTGAAATATAGGTGAGCAACTGGAAATTACTCGTTCTGAAACGCTTCTTATGTCTGTTAGAACAGAGCTTATAAATAATATAAAAAATTGAATTTCTTGTACTCACCCCTCAAAAACTGTGGCCTCCACTCGTAAATTCAAATAATCAATCAAAATAAACACATAATTCGAATCGCGACACTTTTCCGAACACTTTAAAGTACTTTTTTCTACAAACGTCACTAAAAGTGTCATTTTTAACGGATGCTGTCAGTGTCTAAAATGCCATTTTATGACACTGGTGTTAAAAGTAAGTAATCACTTCTAGCACTGATCAGAAAATATAAAAACATAGGAAATTTTATATCAAAGTAAAATATTTATTTAATTAAATTAAAATTAGCGAAACTGCAATTAGAATAAGAAACTCCATGGCCAATCTCATTGGTAGCAAATACTGAATTTATTTTGGTAAAACTTGTACCAGGAGAGTAAAGAGCAATGTTATTCTCCGAACTTTTGGGCAGAATTTGATCCGCAATGTTCTTTTGTATGAAAACTCGTACTGTTGCTTTGACTTGCTAGGCAATAATTCGAAAGTAGCTTTATTGGCAGCTTCTTCAATTTCCGCCGGGAGAAATTCATTGTCTTGATCACTTTCCATCGCCCAGAAAATAAACTACAATGAAACTGGATGAAACCACGCAAAAACCAAAAATTGTGCAGAAACCGTAAGCAAAAATTCGTGATTATTTGACGTTATTAATCAACAATGACAAACAGAGATGACAAATAAAAATAAACAAATTCGTTTTTTTTCTTGCCAGCAACCTATTTCATAAATAAATTAGATGAAAGATTTGAAATTGAGGATTTCAAGGATGCGTTAATTTGGACTTTTAAACAGTGTTTGTAGAAAAAATAGTGTATGATATTCGTGCTAAAAGTGATTTTATTTTGTTCAAAGGGATGGAACACTCCGCCTTCGGCGTCGTGTCCCAAACTTCCCTTTTCACAAAATAAAATGTCACTTTTAGCACTTATATCATAAATAACTATTTCCGATTGAAAAGTCCCGAAAAACTGGAAAATTTAACGAAAAACCGGTATAAAAACACTCAAAATAGCCAACTGTCAAATGTCAATTAATGATTTTTGCTTGTGCCCTTAATTTTTGCATTTAAAACTGGAAAGTTTTGACAAAAAATTAAGAAAACTCGTACTTTAAATCAGTTTTTCCGTTCGAAAACAGCCTGGAAAAACGGAAAATACAAAGAAAACCTAGCAAAAATAACATTTTAAAGGCTACTTGATAAAACTTAGGTTTTCGTTATTTACCCCCTTGAAAAACTCGAAACTTTTAGCGGAAAATGAAGCCTCATATTTTAAACCAATTTTCCCGACTGAAAACAGCTAGAAAAAGCGGAAAATTCAAGAAAAAACTGGATAAAAATGTAAACACGTGTCAATTAAAAATGGCCAACTGTCAAAAGAAAAGTGGCAAATGACATTCCATTACAAGGCCTACTTGATTGAGAGCGACGTTGCCAAGTTAGCTAATAAATTACATACATCGACATAAAATTTGCCTCATCCAATAATTGAAAAACACCTAGTTTTGACAGTTTTTATTTAAAATTCAGTCACCTGTCAAAAACTGTTCAAATTTTTTAAGTTAGCAACACTGCAAAACATCATCCTATTAATCTACTGTCATTTGTCATTCCTTTTTAAAAAAGTCACTGTCATTATCCATATACCTATTATGTTGACGTGTATCCAGGGTTGCCAGATTTTCATTTTAAAAAATCGAGACAGCACAAAAAAACAATATAGGTAACGACCCAACCCACAATTTCTACACAGATTTTAAATCTTCACATGATTTTACAGGATTTTAAAATATTTTAGAGTATTTTTTTAGTTCTATTAAATTTTGTAAGATTTTGTAGGATTTTAGGCGATTTTAAGAGATTCTGTTAAGTTTCTAAGGATTTTAAAGATTTTTAGGGATTTCAAGTAAATCTTGTGAGATTTTCTGGGATTTTGACCAACTTGTACACAAATTTCGACCAGTTAACCACCCCTCGAGATTTTGCTACTTATAGCATTTAAAACTGGAAATTTGTGCTAAAAAATGAAGAAAACTCAAAGCCTCGTACTCGCTCGTTTTCCCGCTCAAAAACAGCCTGGAAAAACCAGCCAAAATAACATTCCCAAGCTTACTTGATAAAACTTAAGTTTTTCTCACTTACCCCCTTGGAAAACTGGAAATTTTTGGCAGAAAACGAAAGAAATTCGAAGCCTCGTATTTTAATCCAGTTTTCCTGACTGAAAACGACCTGAAAATGTGAACATCTAAGGAACACGTCAATTAAAAAATGGCCGACTGTCAAAAGAAAAATTGCAAATGACATTTCATTACAAGGCCTACTTGATTGAACGCGACGTTGCCACATTTCAAATAAGACAAAAAAAAGATTTCAAATGGTTTTTTGTTTTAAATTTCCCAAAATAATGTTATAGAAACTTATTTTTCACAAAATTTAATTCAATAGGGAGTAAGACAAAGAGAGAAATAAACTAGAACGTAATTATTTAGGTCTAAAAGTGGAAGTTTTTGCTAAAAAAATGAAGTAAACTTAAAGCCCCGTCCTTCAAAACAACATTTTTCTGATTAAGAAGGCCCTGTAAAAGCGGAAAATCCAAAGAACAACCATTACTCCAAAGCCTACTTGATAAAACTAAAGTTTTTCTCACTTACCCCATTGGAAAACTGGAAATTTTTGGCACAAAATATAGGAAATCCAAAGCCTCGTATTTTAAATCGGTTTTCCCAACTGAATAAGCCCTGAAAAATCGGAAAATTCGAAGAAAAACTGGATAAAAATATATATACGTTAATTAAAAATGGCCGAATGACAAAACTGGCAGAAATTACATTATTGCAAGGCCTACTTGTGATGGAAATCTCGTGAAGTTGGCCACAAGCAGTGTTGCCAAAAGCATTTCAAATGGGATTTTTGCTAATTATGGCATTTAAAACCGGAAATTTGTGCTAAAAAATAAAGAAAACTCAAAGCCTTGTACTTTAAATGAGTTTTCCCGCTCAAAAACAGCCTGGAAAAGGGGAAAATTTAAAAAAAAAAAACAGCCAAAATAACATTCCAAAACTTACTTGATAAAACTAAAGTTTTTCTCACTTACCCCATTGGAAAACTGGAAATTTTTGGCACAAAATGTAGGAAATCCAAAGCCTCGTATTTTAAATCGGTTTTCCCAACTGAATAAACCCTGAAAAATCGGAAAATTCGAAGAAAAACTGGATAAAAATATATATACGTTAATTAAAAATGGCCGACTGACAAAACTGGCAAAAATTACATTATTGCAAGGCCTACTTGTGATGGAAATCTCGTGAAGTTGGCCACAAGCAGTGTTGCCAAAAGCATTTCAAATGGGATTTTGCTAATTATGGCATTTGAAACCGGAAATTTTTGTTAGACAATTAAGAAAACTCAAAGCTTCGTACTTTAAATGAGTTTTTCCGCTCAAAATAGCTTGGAAAAGCGGAAAATCTAAAGAAAAAAAAACAGCCAAAATAACATTCCAAAGCTTACTTGATAAAACTAAAGTTTTTCTCACTTACCCCATTGGAAAACTGGAAATTTTTGGCACAAAATGTAGGAAATCCAAAGCCTCGTATTTTAAATCGGTTTTCCCAACTGAATAAACCCTGAAAAATCGGAAAATTCGAAGAAAAACTGGATAAAAATATATATACGTTAATTAAAAATGGCCGACTGACAAAACTGGCAAAAATTACATTATTGCAAGGCCTACTTGTGATGGAAATCTCGTGAAGTTGGCGACAAGCAGTGTTGCCAAAAGCATTTCAAATGGGATTTTTGCTAATTATGGCATTTAAAACCGGAAATTTGTGCTAAAAAATAAAGAAAACTCAAAGCCTTGTACTTTAAATGAGTTTTCCCCGCTCAAAAACAGCCTGGAAAAGCGGAAAATCTAAAGAAAAACCAGCCAAAATAACATTCCAAAACTTACTTGATAAAACTAAAGTTTTTCTCACTTACCTCATTGGAAAACTGGAAATTTTTAACACAAAATGACGGAAATTCAAAGCCTCGTATTTTAAACCAGTTTTTTCGACTGAAAATGGCCTGGAAAAGCGGCAACACGTCAATTAAAAAATGGCCGACTCTTAAAAGAAAAGTGGCACATGACATTTAATT